AAGATTTAATTAAACAATTTATATATATAGAAAAAAAATGAAGCTACTAACAAAAACACTACGAATTTGCACAGTCATGATGCAAGTATTCTGAAGCGAGTAGCGGATTATGAATTTTGTGAGGTGGGAAATGCGAATCAAGATACATATGAGAGAATAACGAGAAAAGATTCTAAAAGCAAATGCATCTTATGTGTGGTATGCCTTTTTTTTTTCTTTTTTTGATTAAACTATGAATACTTATTTAAATATTACCGAACTTTCTTAATTTGTTGGTTTAACTTTATTGTAGGATGATAATCCTATTAGCCTAAAGGTAATTATTTTAATAATATTGACACATTATTTTACCAGTTCTTTAATATAATGTTATTTTTAGCGCACATTACAGAAAGTTTCAAAGCTTGGTTATTCAACAATCTCTGCAACAAATGGCCAAGAAGCAGTCAACTTAATTGATCTTGAATTTAAATTAAGCAATACGTACTCGTGTTCATCTAATTCGGATATAGATCAAATAAAATCTCACAGAATCTCATTAATTTTAACAGAATGTAATTTAGTAAGTTTAATTCATTATTTGAATTTAACACTATGAAATATTCACAACTAATTATTTATTTATTATACTTAGCCAATAATGTCATGCTTTGATATTTCACGAGTAATTAGAGCAATGAGGCCACCAATTTCAAACATACCGATTATTGTCCTAACAACATTTACTATAGAAGAGATACAAGATAAATGTATAGAGTCAGGTATAAGTGATTATCTCGCAAAGCCTCTGAAAATTGAAGAACTTAAACAAGTTTTAAGTAAATGGATTGGTGAAAATTAACGTTAATTACAATATAAAATCCTATATAAATATATCTTTTATAAATACTGGTAATATGCCTTATATTTTTTTCTAAAAATTTTATATTTCTTCTATGTTTTCTCTAACCTCAATAACTCATTTCCCGGTATCAATAGCGATAGTTTCCTTGATTTATGAACTAAGGGATAGATTAGTAGCGCAACCAAAATTCAGTAGATCGGCCCGAATTTAGGGTCGGAATAGGCCGAAGCTTGACCGGCATTAAGAATAATACTAGCACTATACTATAGCAAAATTAGTAGCTGAGCAATTTTACTTAACAGATCTGAGACATGTCCTCTTGGTTGTTGTCAAATATAAATCAAATGAGTTGATTTACTCAAATATATAGATATAATTTACTTTTTTTTTATTTATTCAAGAAAGTAAATATAAAAAATAATTTTAAATATGGGACTTATATTTTTTAGTATTGATAATTTTTTAACAAAAATTATAAACCTAAATATCAAGTAGCTTTAAAAGGATCTTAAGCTAAAGTTGTTCAATCCTTCTTTATATTCTTAAGTCAAATA